CCTCCCCCTCCCTCCTCCTCTCCCCCACCATGCCTCCCTCTTCCAAGCCCCTCCCCTCCCTCACCCCTCAGTCCCCCCCAATCCCTCTTGCAGTGCCTGCCTGTGGCCCAAGGGTCTCAGGCTTGTGAACTCCTGGCATTGTTAGTCAGCAGTAGTCATGAAGTGTTCTGTAATACAAAAGCTAGCCTGGCCTGCAGGAGAATCTGAACTAGTGGGGGGGCCTTTAGAACTACAATGGCAGGGACAGAAGGGCATTCTCTGAGGGCCTTTGTGGATGAAATCAATGACACAGGAAAATGAGAGATGGTTATCATGCGCAAAACCTAGCCTGGCAGACTTAGCAAGGACTCTTTAAGCCTACCAGTGATGGGGTTCTTGCATCCAGCACACTTCTTGGCCACAAAGTTCTTGTAGCAATCCACGCAGTAATACTGGTCCTCCACAGCGGTGAAACGCTGCCCAGCCAGCTTCTTAGAGCAGGTAACACACACAAAGCAATCGGCATGCCAGGGCTGATCCTGGTAAGTGATTCCTCCAGATGTGATGGCCTAGACCAGGGAGTGTAGCACCGGATTCAGATTCAACAACCATTTTGTTGAATGCCTACCACGTGCCAGGCACTGTGCTGGGCGCTTTGGTTTACAGTATCTCATTTAATCTCCACCACGACCATGGGAGGCAGGTGCCATTATTATCCCCAATTTACAGATGAAGACACCAAGGCCCGGGGCAGGAGAGCCCCTTGGCAAGGTGATGCAGCAACCCAGTGGCGGAGGCTGGCTTCCAGAGCTGGGGTTGCCCACACCACTGCCACCAGACAGCTTGCTTTCTCATCCCTGTCTCCTCATCCGTAAAATAGGCATAATAATTCCTACGTCACAGGGCTGTTGTGAGGATGGAATGGGATAGTGTGTGTGCAAGTGCTCTGAAAACTGTCAACACTTCGAGACATAGCAGTCAACACGCAACTCCCTTGCCAAAGTACCTTATTACACTTGACGCAGTGCTTGGCAAACTTGGTCTCGTGGCAAGTCACGCAGTAGAAGTCCTCCCCTTTCGGGAAGAAGCTTCCGGTCCCAATGACTTGCTTGCAGTTGCTGCAGGTGAAGCAGTCTTTGTGCCAGACGGTGCCCTTGTACTCCACGTTCTGGTCTCCTGCAGGGGAAAGCAGGCCCATAGCCCCACTGACAGGCTCTGCAGGGGGCTGCATCCACTCAGCCCGCCCCCCGGGGCACTCCAGAGGTGAGGGGATGCAGACCCTGCAGTCGCTGGCCTCACGCCTCCACCTAACCCTAACCCTGTGCCCCTTGCGGTGATGTCCACCTGGGATTCTGTTGTGGGCAGGGCCCCAGCAGCATGATTTCCTATGAAATGTGAATCCCCACTCCCCCGCCTCTACCCACTGCATGGACTAACAGTCAGCTGGGGGTTGACTGACCTCTGAGCCCAAATTACACCCTGGGGGGAAGCATGCCTCCATCACTTACTACACCCAAACGAGAAAGCGCTACATACTGTTCACTTCATTCTCTTGCCACAGGCTGTTTTCGCCAGTGTTCTTTAGTCTCCAAGTGTGTGCGTGTGTGCGAGCATATATGTGTACGATATATACGTGTATGTATATGTGTACATATATATGCTAAAGTCTCAAAGCAGGTCACAGCAACATTAGCCCCACAATGACAAGCAAGCCAACCCTCATGGCTGCCCTCAGAGCTCCTCCCGGGCAGCCCGGGGTGGAAGGGGGACAGTACCTGCCACGATGGCCTTGAAGCACCCTTTGCACCTGGGGGAGTCCTCCCGAGTGGCACACTTGTTGCACAGTATCTTGTTGTCCTTGGACACAAAGGTCTCGCTGGCCAAAGGGTGAAGGCACTTGGCACAGCGGAAGCAGGTATCGTGCCAGTAGCGGTTCTTGTAGTGCACCTCCTGGGGAGCAAGCAGAGTAGGGCAGCCCCTGTGAAAGCTGACTACTGAGTGACATACTCATTCATACCTAGGTTACCCTGAGGTGAGTATTGTTCAGAGTAGTAAGAGGGGCACTGGAATGAGGATGAAAACCTCACAATTCCCAGATACTTAGTACAGGCTGAGTGTCTCTAATCCCCAAATTCAAAACCCAAAATGCTCCAGAATCTGAAACTTTTTGACTGGTAACACAGTACCACAAGTGGAAAATTCCACACCTAACCTTATGTGTTAGGTCACAGCCAAAACCCAGGCGCGCACGCTGGCACACACAACATCGTCTATTCAGTGTCTCCAAGGGGGAAAAAGAAACTCTCCCAGCCACTTTAGCTGTGATGCACAAACTATTTCAGGCACACAATTATTAAAATATTGCATAAAACCACCTTCAGCCTATGTAGGTAAGGTATACATGGAACATAAATGAATTTCCTATTTAGCCTTGTGTCTTATCCCCAAGATGTCTATGTATATGCAAATTATTCCAAATATTTTTTTAACCCAGAATCTGAAACACTTCTGCTCCCAAAACGGAATTCAACCTGTACAGCCAAAAGAGCTGACAAAAGCCTCAGGGTCCATCTAGCCTGGGGCCCTTATTAAACAAGGAGGGACACCAGGAACGTCCTTGGGGAGCAGAGACTGCCTGCCTCAAGGCCTCAAGATGGCTGCTATGAGGAGCAGAACTCAAAAAGGTGCCTGTTGCTGTCAGGGCAGCAGGAAAGCTACACCCCGAAGCCCACCCCGTGCTGTTCACACACAGGGATGCCCAGTACCTTGGAGTCTGCACCGATGGGCTTGCGGCACTCCACACAGGTGTTGGCACAGAACTTGTCAAAGCACTTCAGGCAGCAGTGGTGGCCATCCTTCTGCACGTACTTCTTCCCCTGCAAAGGGTCCCTGCAGTAGTGGCAGTCTGACTTCTCAGCCATGGTGCCCACCTTATAACTGGAAGGACCTGCAGGGACAAGCAGGAAGAACAAATGACCAACAGGTATGGCAGGCTGCTCTGCCACAGTGCGCAGTGCTGCACGCAGCCAAGAAGATACTTGGAGTAAATGAGCTCTGGGCACCGGGACCAGCTTCCCCTTGAGCCTGGCTGGCCGCTAGGCCCCAAGGAAAGTGATACTTCACTACGACTCCCAGGAAGACGTTGCCTCTGAGCCCTGGCCAGTCACCACGCAGAGATTCTGGGAAGCATGGTGATTGCGAGCAGTGACCTGACAGAGTAGAGGGCTGGCATGGTGCAGGCAAGAAAGGGGAAAATGCTATATACAAATGAAGACCTAGGTGGCAGGCAGGCTTCTCCGGAACGAGGAGGCAGGGGCCGGGCCCTCTGCTTGGAGGGCTGCCAGCAGAGTGCAAGTCAGGAGCCTCCCTGCCAGCTTTTGTGCTTTTCTCTGTCACTTTTTCAGGGGAAAGAGTATTTATTCTCTGCAGGTCTCGCTTTCCTCCTACCTATACAATTCTATCCATCTGAGCAAAACCTCAACAGCCGACTCTTTACCCTGCTAGTCACACAAATAATCCTCACTCATTTACAATGCTTAAATTTACTTGAAATCAGGCAGAAACAATTTTAGACTCTAGAGGGATCCCAAAGAGTTTTGTTCCAGGTAAGTGCCCTGACTTTTGAGGCCTAAGAAGTAGGGCTGAGGAGCATTTATCAAAGCAGCCCGCTTGACTGGCACCAGCACATTTTGAAACTAGATTATTTGTCAGTGATGCGTGGTTTTGTGACTTACTAAAATCAAACCCTTGGGTCAAGAGAGGGAGGATCAGTTATATCCACTTTGGGACATTTGCGGTTTTAAATATTGCAAGTTTAAAGTATGATCTGGAAAAAATGACTCTGACAAAGGGTTAATTCCAAGAACCCCGTCACTTCCCAACCCAAGACCGCTAAGGCCCTCCATGGCCACTTTGCAAAGTCACTGTCTACAGAACCTTGCCACCAATGAAGATACCAAATGTAAGCTTCCACTAGCTCTCAACTTCTTTCCATGTTAATTCTATATCCTAATTTTTCTCCTGGATCTAAAAAAGAAAATTGATATAGCAACTATTTAATCTGTGAAGGAAACACAAGAGCTGAGACTATTTAATGCAAACCATCCACACCCAGTTATCAAACACCCAGAGCAAATGTCCTCTCCAGAGAAAGAATGCAGGGAAGTAATGAGCAGTTACAGGCTACTCACCGCAGCTCTTCCGCCAACCAAACAGCCCAGACTCCTGCTTTGGGTTCCATTCTCAGGTTTTTTTATATAACCACATGTCCAAGCTGTTTGGACCCTGTTGCCCAAGGCAACCAAACAGCAGAGGGTGAGCTAAGGAAACCACACCCTGCGTGTGGGAACCCGCCTGGTCCAAGGCTGTGAAACTCTCACTCAGACCTGTGCCAGTCTCTGCAGACAGCCTCCAAACAGGCGAAACTGGGCCCCAGGACATACATGCCTGCTGCCTCCCGCTGACATGCACACAGTCCCCTCATCACAAGAGCTGGCATGGGAAGGAAATGAGTGGCATTCTTTACAAGGACAGTTGCTGGGGACAATTGTGTCATAGTCAGGAGACTAAGGAAGACCAGGGGATAGTTCTTACTTGACTTTTCCCTAAAAACAACGCTAGGATGTTCCCTTACGTGACAGGGTTAGAAACCAAACGTACACAATGAACCCAGGGCAAACCACCCTGTTTACATGAAGAAGCTGCTCAACTGCCAAGGGCCTCCATGCCAAGAACAAAAGTACCTCTCACTGTGACACTGTGGGGAAAATAATTCCCCTGCTCTTTCCCAGGTCACATAAGATCCTTGTCTTCCCTTTACCATTTTGAAAATGTGCCCTCTATAAAGATCTGCTTTCTTGTTAAGAGCTCAGTTAAGAAACCAAATGAATCACCAGTAAAAGTAAGTGCCAGGAAATTAAATTATCAGTGGCTCCAAAATGCCATTTGGCAGGAAAATTTATAAGATTAGACAGCACTGGCTTTCTGTGTGGCTAGTAACTACGACTGGGTTAGCCCTTCAGAGACTATCTTCTTGGACCATATTTGAATATCCCTCTTCCTCCCACACTGAGGTCTCTGTTTAGAACACAATGTGGAACCTAGTCACTTTAGTAGCACTCTCTTTTAATGCCTATCAGGGCAGAAATGGCTTCCAAATATTTTTCTATTTGAGTATTATATTATATAGAGTTCCACCTAAGGGGAGTCCCACCTTTTGATATTGCTGAATTCTAGCTTTATGGTTAAAAATACAGGCATTAGTGTCATACACTAATAGTGTCATACACAAGAAAAAATACTTCTAGAAAACACAATGAATTCTACTTAGAGGTATCTAGAGATAATGAAGAGAAGGAAAATGTTACCATGGTTCTCATACCAAAAAGATCTTCCCTGCCACGTCTTTCTGACTTTTCAGGCATACACTCTCAGCACTCTTAGTTTGCTTTCTTAGTTCTAGAACATGACATGTTCAATGTTTAGGCATCCAGATGATGAAATAATTCAGGGGTGACCAATGAACATGGACCTACTAAAGTGTTTGGAAAGCATCAGTCAGTGAAGCTGTATACCATTGTATTGTTCCTGTAATACAGAGTCTTACAGTACAGGGTCCAAGCAAAAGGAACATTAACAACCCCAAGTTAATGGTGCCAATAAGAAGGCATCTTGGTATTTTGAGTTTTAGCTTTAGGACTATTCTCCAAGAATGAAATAAGATATCCAGGGTCTCCTTACATTCCCTACCTCAGTATACTTAAACCCAGACTATCCAAATGGAGATTTCAAAGGGCATATTTTAGAAATGATTTCAACAGTTGACTTAAATCACTTTTATGTGTGTGGAAACACTTATTAATCAAGACAGAATAGGTAATTCTAGAAATGTTGGCTTTGTAAACAGGCTAGAACTTCAAGTATGTTAGCAATGTCTACGTCAAATTCATGAACTTTTGTATATTTTTTTGGTAAGAAATCTGACTTGGTAGAACTTTGGGCAACAAGAATTAGCTCACTTCCTCTTTTTCTAACTTTATGATTAAATGGTACAAAACCTTTTTAAACCTTCATGCCACTTGCTTTGGAAGTTAGAGCAATACATTCCTACTGACGAGACATTGTATCAAAACTCTGCATAAAATATGAATGATGTGTATAAAATATTTTGCTAACACTTATCTCAAGGGATTAACAACTCGAAGAACCCAGATGATAAATGACAATGCTGACACAGAGTTTTATAAAGGATAGCAAATATTCCAAGTGGCTGACACCCAGCAGAATGAGCCACAGTTCAGCTTTGGCTTCTTGAGGAGAGAAAAACTTGCACTTTCATCTTACTCTTGGTTTTGGTTAGAAATGATCAGGGAAGAGAAAAAATGGAAAATGGCACTTGACCTCTTTTGGGGAGGCTCTCTTTACTGTTACTGAATTACATTTTTAAGCATTTATCTCTTAAGTAATACTTTCACATCTCTAAGTCCAAGTACATGAAATATGGAGCCTTTTAACTTTTCAAACTTATGTTTGCCTTGACTTACTGCTGCCATCTTGACAGGACATGTCACCCATCAGTAAGTGAAATACTTGCTATATACAACTACAGGCCACTTCTCTTATCACCTATCTTTGTGGAAGACATGTTTGCCCTAGGGTAGGCTAACATCTTGGTGTGGCCCTTATCTGTACGTAGCAGTGAGATTTTTCTATCACACAAAATTCTGCCACTGCACTTGGAGCCCCCAGGTATCAAATCCAATATCTTGTATAAAGATATATCAATATATCAATATATCCTGCTAACTAACAGTAAATCACCACCAAGTTTCTAAAACTTTCATGTGGGAGGTAACTCAAAATTGATCGTGATCCAATGATCAGACCTTCTATTTTGTCTATACAAAGCCCATTTCAGAGTAACACTGTTCTTCCTTCTGTGAGCTCTTCTCTCTTTTTCATGGACCCGTTCTTCTCTGCTTTCATGAACCAATGAACCTAACACAAAACAATGTCCTATTTCCTGGTTTTAAAAATCAAAAGGAAAAAATGGAAGCAAAGTCTTTGTAGATAGGGCGGAGTGGAAGAGTTGAAGGGAGGGCAGGGGAATGGGGAAAAAATAAGAAGCAAGACATTTCATGGAAAGGTACAAGTTCCCAATGATAAATGTAAATGTATTGTCTACCTAAAATGTACCAAAAAAAGAATGTAAGAGGAAAAAAAAATCAAATCCTGTGATCCTAAGGTGCCAAAAATCTAACATATACCATATAGGTACTTGCGTTGTTCCCTGATTTTTTGAGACAAAACTTTCATACAGATTCATTTAATAAAAGGCGTTCTAGAACCTTAGAATGCAGTTGAAATTGTGGCTGGGTGATCACATTTTAAGTATCTATTCTAAGATGGTAGCCTGGCTTTCTTTCTATGCTTGCTTCAAAAGAAACATCATTCTTCATCTAACAATCTTGCTCTTTTGGAAGAAAACTTCCTGACCTAAATCCAACGTGGAAGTCCCTATAGAAACCTCAGTGTCTCAATTCAATCATATACACATACAGGTAATACAACATTGCAACATTTGTTTTCCACTCTATTTTTAAAATTAATTTTATTGGTACATTTAAAGTGTACAATATAATGATATCGACCATTGGAAATTTGTACCTTTACATAATCCATCTTGGTTCTTATTTTCTCCCCATTCCCCTGCCCTCCCCCTTCAACCCCTCCATCCCTCCCTATCTACAATGTTTTCCACCCTAGTTCTCCTATTAGAGAAGATTCAATTTGCATTCAGTAAGTCTTGCTTGTGTTTTTACATGGATTTTCTCATGTATTTCTTGATAACATTCCTTTTTCTTTCTTCATGCCAAAGTTGCTCAAGATACGAATATTTAAGGAGAAAGTGAATATTCTGACTAGATAGCACTTTTCTATCCATGCACT